TGTCTAAAAGGTTTCCTCATGCGTATTCTTATTGTGTTCATTCCTATGCATTTAATCTTCCTTATTGCTATTATATGTGGGATTGTGTGAGAACCACCAGTGAGTGTGTGTGTACAAACAATATGATTATACTTGTTAATTTTATTTTTTATTTATTTATTTTGGTTTTGGCGTTATGTCAGGCCATGCTCAGGGCTTATTTCTGGCTCTGTACTCAGAGATCATTCCTGGATCAAACCCTGGTTGGAAGCCTGCAAGGAAAACACTCTGCCCATTTCCAGCCTCTACTTATTGTATTAGCTAACTTCCTTTAACATTTTTATTAATTTACTATTTATTTTATAGGTCTCTTCAGGTATACTATACCGTTTGCTCATAGACATGGCTTTACTGATTCTTCCTTCCTTCCTTCCTTCCTTCCTTCCTTGTTTCCTTCTTTCTTTCCTTTTTTGGGGGAGGGGGCTCACTTGAGGTGGCACTCAAGGTTCACTCCTGAATCTGCAGTCAGAGATCACACCTGGTGGAGCTCAGAGGACCATATGGTGTGCCCAGGATCAAACTGGGGTCAATCATGTGCAATGCTTTGTTATTACTCTGGCCCCTGATTGTCCTATTCTTATGAATCTAATGTTTACTCCAGTCAACAGCTAATATTTACAGTACAACATTTAATAGAAATTACATAGCCAGCATACTACACTTGCTTCTTACCTAGGATCAGATTCTCTAGTAGTTTTTCAATAAAAATAATACTGGCTTTAAGAATCATCTCAATATATTTTATCAGATTAAGAATCTTGATTTTTAGTTTCTTCAGGGTTTTCTTTCAGTTTTTTAATTAATCTATTTTTATTAAAGCATCATGATTTACAAGGTTATTCATAACCTGACTTTTAGATATACAATATCGTAGCACTAATCCCACCACCAGTGTCAACTTCCCTCCACCCCACCAAAGTTCACAGATTCTCTCCCAAACATACCCCACCTCTAGCGTGCCCTCTTGACAGGCCTCTTTCTAAGCTCAGTTGTAAAAGTTTGGGTCTCTTTGTTTCAGTGTTGTTGACTCTGTGATTTGTATATTTGGCTCTGTTATTCCTTAACATTACCCTTGTATCTAAATCCCCTGACCTGTCCCCCACTGCTTCTCGACTGTCTCTTCTAACCTTCCCTTCCACTCACTCTTTCTTTCCTTCTCCTCTCTAAATTCTGGGGACAAGGTTTGTCTGGGCATCCCCCCTTCAAAACACAGCAATCCCTCGTGCACTTATTCTAAATACCCTATATATGCGTTTATCCTGTGTTTATCCTTCTGCTGCTGCTTTACTTCAGTTAACATGATGTCTTCCAGTTCCTTCCATGCAGCAGCAAATCTCATGATTTCAATATTTCTCACAGCTGTGAAGTATTCTGTTGTGTATATATACCTCATTTTCATGATCAATTTACTTTTTATGGGACCTGAAAGTTTATTCCAAATCTAACTATTGTACTGAGTGCTTCACTGATAATGATGTGCATATGTTCTTTCAAATGATTTTTTTGTCTTGGGGATACTCAATTGTAGAATTTCTGGGTCATATGGAAGCTCAGTTCTGAGTTTACCAAGTCCTCTATATTCCTTTCTACAGGATCAGACAACATTCCCACTAGACAACATTCCGACCAGCAGTGGATTTTCACCATATATCTGCCAACAGAGATTGTTACCAGTATTTTTGGTATGTTCCATTATCACTATTGTAAGAGGACATCTCATTGTTATCTTGATTTAGATTTCCCTAATAATTAGCGATGATGAGCATTTTTTCATAACTGTTCATCGTCCGTTGGTCTTCCTCAGAGAAGTGCCTGTTCATTTCCTGTCCCCATTTTTTTAAATTTTATTGAATCACTGTGAGATAGTTACAAGCTTTCATGTTTGGGTTACAATCACACAATGATCAAACACCCATTCCTCCACCAGTGCACATTCCCCACCACCAATATCACCGGTATATCCCCCTTTCTTACCCTCCCCCTGCCTCCATGGCAGACAATATTCCCCATATTCTCTCTCTACTTTTGGGCATTATGGTTTGCAATACAGACCCTAAGAGGTTATCATGTTTGGTCCTTTATCTACTTTCTGCACACATCTCCCATCCCAACCGATTTCTCCAGCCATCTTTTTCTTAGTGATCCCTTCTCTATTCCTGTCCCCATTTTTTATGGGGCTTTTAGAATTTTTTTAATCTTTGTGCATACTTCATAGATCCTTTATCTGATGTGTTGACTATGAGTATTTTCTCTCACTCAGTTTTAGCCCGTGTTTCTTTTTCCATACAGAAACTTTTAAGTTTGATATGGTGCCACTTGTTTAGTTTTGGTTCAGTAGCCTTTGCCAGTGGCACCATATTGTTGAAGATTGCTCTGGGGTCTAGGTCTTAGAGTGTTTTACCTACATTTTCCTCAATGTACTTCATAGATTCAAGACTGATCGCAAAGTATTTGATCCACTTTGAGTTGACTTTTGTGTAAGGTGTGAGATGTGGATGCAGCTTTAATTTCTTGCATGTGGCTATCCAGTTATATATATATATATATATATATATATATGAGTTATATCCTTAAATATTCTTTTTCTGGGCTGGAGCGATAGCACAGAGAGTAAGGCGTTTACCTTGCACGTGGCCAACCCGGGTTCGATTCCTCCGCCCCTTTCGGACAGCCTGGCAAGCTACCAACAGTATCTCGCCCACACGGCAAAGCCTGGCAAGCTCCCAGTGACATATTTGATATGCCAAAAACAGTAACAACAAGTCTCACAATTTGTTGTGAGTCGTTACTGGTGCCTGCATGAGCAAATCGATGAACAATGGGAGGACAGTGCTACGGTGCTATTCTTTTTCTAACAACTTCTGTGGTGGTTTTGTTTCTGCTATAATTTTTATGCCACACCCGTGCTGTTCAGGGCTTACTCCTGGCTCTGCACTCAGATATCACTTATGGAATGCTTCAGGAACAGTTTGGATTGCCAGGGATCGAACCTGGGTCTGGTATATGCAAATCAAGTGCCCTTACTGTTATAATAGCTCTGACCTCTCTTCCATTTTTTAAAATTATATGTGACTGATGGGCACTTGATAAAAAGAAAAAAAATAAAAGTGACTATTATCAAAAAAAATTATATGTGACTTTTGTTAATTACATGTGAATTTTCCAGTATGTTGGTCAGCATCTTTGATGATAGTCATTTGAGAGTGTTTATTAATTTTACTACTACAGTGAATGATAGCAATGAAATTCCTAATTTAGAACCAATTTATATCAATTAAATAAGTTTCATATGAACAGAGAATGTGCACACAAACATCTTTGAAAATTCTTTTCTTGAAGACACACCAATCATTTCATTTTCTTTATTATTCTCCCTTCTTTCATTTTTTTGTTTTATGATTTCTGTTTTTTCTTACAGCAGTTTCATAATGTATTGTTATATATGTAATAATATTTAATGTACTGTTTTTGTTTCTGCATTTTCCCTCAATGTCAAGTACGTCCTGTAAAACTTATTCTGGAATTTTCCTTCTTTTCAGTGACCTTAGATTATGTATAGATCATCAGTACTATTTGGTCTTTGATAATTTGTTCAAAGCCCATCTTCATTTTTTTCTTTTCTCATATTTTTATTAAAGCACTGTGATTTCCAAAGTTATTCATAGTTGAGTTTCAGACATGAAATACTGTAGCACTGATTACACCACAAGTGTCAACTTCCCTATACCAGTGTTCCCAGATTCCCTCACATATCTCCCTCTCCCTCCAGCCTACCCTCTTGACAGGCACCTATTTGCACTGTTAAAGTTAGTAGTAGCTCATCTTCAAAACCATCTGTATGAAGCATTTCTTGGAGGATAATTCCTTAATAACATTATCTGATGACAATTGGCTAATTTACATTTTATATCAATAGTTTGAATATATGATTGTAATTATCTCACAAAAAGTTCATCATTAATCTTTGTAATGGAGAAATATTATAAACTGTTCTTGCTAATCACAATGCTACAAAAGTCAAGTGAACAACAAAAAATAGAAAAGTGAGACATTTCTACTTGGAAAAAATGGAAAGTCTCTGTTAAGCAAATGTTTTACAGCAGGTGAGATGGAAACTAAAATTCCAGTTAATTTGGTAAAAATTGATAATGAACAGCAACTTATCAGAATCTATGGGCTACATCAAAAGCAGCAATCAGAGGTAAATTCAGAGAAAAAATAACTTTGGGTAAACTGAAAGGATTGTAACACTGTCCATAAAAATTATTAATTACAGTATAATTTCATAAAATTTGCCAAATGTTTGATAGAATTAACAAACAAGTCTTACAATAGAAAACACAGGGCAGGGAATATACACGGAAGCATAAAAGAATAAAAGACAAATTAAGTTCTTTCATCCTATACTTTAAGATAATAATGAGGTATAGGTTTTCAGTTTGATTGTTGTTGTTTTGTATGCTTCTGGGCAGAACTATTGGCAAGCAGACATCTCGGTGGGTAGCATTTTATTCTGTTAACTTACATCTGATTGCTATGGGATTTTTTCTTACAGTAAATATATGGATGCTTTAATCATTGTGTATATTTACAATATATTTAAACACATTTATTCTGTGCCTACAGCAGAGATATCCTTTGGTGATTGTGTAATTCACAATTTTCTCCAAGATATTTTTTTTTTGTTTCTAACTAATCTTGGAGTCAAAGAGGAGATTGTAGAAATATTCTTTTTTTTTCTTTTTGGGTCACTCCCGGCGTTGCACAGGGGTTACTCCTGGCTCTGCACTCAGAAATCACTCCTGGCGGTACTCAGGGGACCATATGGGATGCTAGGAATCAAACCTGGGTTGGTTGCGTGCAAGGCAAAAGCCCTACCTGCTGTGCTATCTCTCTAGCCCCAATTGTAGGAATATTCTTAAAAATTCTAAATATTCCTCACCCTGAGCAGGATTGTGAAGATGGATAAAGAATCTTTACCCACTCTGCTGGAACTTGCTGCAAAGAGTCTGATGAGTAATGAGTCTGCAGGTAATCACGCCCTGCAGGTCCTTCCTAAACATCTCTTCATTCAGTTGTTCACCACTGCCTTCTTGGGCCGACATAAGAAGATGCTAAAAGCAATAGTGAAGGTTTGGCCATTTCAGTGTCTGCACATCGGGACTCTGAATATAGGAGAATCACCCTATGACATCTTGAGAGTCTTGGTGGATGCTCTGCAGTTCCTCCCCGCCCAGGACACTTCTTCAGGGTAAGACTAATCTAATAGAGACAAAATGAGTCCACAGGTGGGTATGCCATGCCCTAGAAGAGGGGAATCCCAAGAATCTCCCCAAAGTAACTTGCATTGCATGTATAGAATCTATGTGTCTGCTGTCCAACATGTGGATTTATTTTAAGTACTCTGAAATCTTACAGGATTGACTGTAGTTTAGAGATGATTGAGGATAGTATGGATGGATTTACTTCCTGAATGTAATTGCTTAGAAGAAGGGCATAGGCTCTGAGGCTAAAGAGAACGAGAGGTGAAGAAAGTATGAGACAGTGAGAGGTGCATATATTTATATGTAAAGAACGTGTATGTGAATAACATGTAGAGTGAAAACCAGAGGGAAATGGTTCTCTGTCATCTCCACATCATTGTTCTTGCTGTGTAATAATGAAACCTTATACTTCTCATATGTTCTGTCTCCTTTTCTCCCTTACAGGGGCTCCAAACTGAGGATCCTGGATTTAAGACAGGCGTTGGACTGTGAAATAACATGTTACTACAAGGCCAAATACCCATTCTGTTTTCAGTCCTGTGTTTATTCTCAGCATTCCATCCTTAACATAGAAGAGAACGAGCATAGCGTTAGGTGCCTTGGAATGGGTGCTTCAGAGTCTGGGTCTGTGTCAGCCAGAAAACCTATTGAATTATTAGTGGATATTTCCTTCACTTGTACAGTGAGAACAAAGCGATTCATTTCTTTTGTTAAGAGTAAGGTTGATCAGAGTTCTGGGTCCTTGCACCTCTGCTGCAGAAATGTGCAAATTGATAATATATGTATGCACACAAAGAGCCTGCGTATCCTAGATCCAGTATGCATTAATCAGCTGGAGGTGAATCGGGTTCACCTGAGGAATATCACTACACTTTTTCCTCAGTTGATCCACCTCAACAGCCTTAAGCTGACTGCCATTCCATTTCAGTCTTGTGAGGGGAGAAACTTCAGCATTTTTCTCAACTGGCTTGAGAAGCTAGACATCCTCCAGGAACTCTGCTTGTCTTCCTTCGGCTTCACAGATCAGCTGCACAGACTGCTCAGGTGAAGATATGGGGTGGACATAGTAAAGATCCCACTCCTCTGTGTTCCCTTCTCTTTGGATATTGCTGGGAGTTTAAAACTTTTCACTCTGGAGAGGCATATTGTGGTTTGAGAAAAACAAGGTTATGAAACAAGGTTACAAAAAGAAACTGCTCATTCACCTGTTCAGTTAGCCAATCAACTATGTGTTGACACCATGATAAATGTGCAGATAAATTGGTAGAAAAAGTTTTAGTCCCTGTTCTATAGGAATGTCCTTTAGATTGATGGCAGAGACATTCTGATGGAGAAGTTTTTACGACGACATTCTGGCGCACATCTCCATGAACTGGCCACAATTGTTACTGCCAGAATTTTGGTTCTGTGGTCTCCCAAGGCTTAGACCCTGACAGGAGACCTTGTCACTTGGGGCCAATGAAAGGGAACCCTCAGTGTGCACCTTTCTCAGACTCATCTTCACCAAATAATTGAACAAGATCCATCATTGTTTATGTTGTACTTACAATTTTTCTTCCATCCTTCCATAACCTTTAGTTATAATTCCAGAGTAATAAATCTGTAAATTCCAGCTTCAGTGCTGTTGTGCTTAAACTTGTTGCAAATTTTGCACAGATTACTTTAACATCGCACCTTATGTATCTATAACTCAAAGCTCTCTGCCCTGTTCCAGTCCTTATTTATTCTGGAATAATCTTTCTTTTCTTTCTCTCCAGAATCCTGAAACCTCAGCTGACTACATTGAGTCTGTCTCTCTGTCGTCTTTCTAACAGAGATGTCACTGATCTGCATGAGAGCTCTCAGATCACCCACTTAAAACATCTGAATCTGAGTAGCAACAGTATATTCCGGGAAGATCCTTCACCCTTTCTGACTCTGCTGGAGAAGGTCTCAAGCACCCTGCAGCATCTGGAGATAAACAACTGCAAAGTCACTGATTCTGTTCTCTCTGCTTTGCTCCCAGTTCTGAGCCGCTGTTCCCAGCTCCATGTCTTTAGCTTTTCCTTAAATCCCATCTCAATGCCTGCACTCATGAACTTTCTGCAACAGCTAACATCCTGGGTGAAGCTTCGGTATGTTATTTGTCCTGTCCCTCTCCATTGCTATGAGCAAGGGAATTTTCAAGTCATTTTGAACCAACAGAAACTGGCAGAAGTGCAGGAACAACTGAAGATGATGCTAAAGGTGGCAAAGAGGGAAGACATGTACTGGTCCACTTCTGAGTGATGTTCTCCTACAAAGAATTACTTTGACTGATGTGTGGTCATTCATCGGTTGTGACTGGTATGTACTGGTGGCTTACTCTTGAATGTGGCTTAACACACATTGGGGCACCAACTTGTTAAAGCATTCACAGATTTCCCTGAAGCCAAAGTTCGTAGAAACACATATGTAATGTTCTACTGTTTAAGAAAACTGACTTCTTAGTTTAGTTTTTTAATAGAGTTCTAAAAGGAAAGAAAGGAAAGTGAATTGTTCTGTGGCTGTCTTGCCCATTGCTTGTTGACTACATCTTCTGGTTACAAATACATTTTGAGTGTGTAGCATAAGTTGACCCAGTTATGGCATATAATTTTCCTGCTTACACTGATTGGTTCTTTTATGGACTAATGAGCAATCATTATAAGTCAGACCAATCAGAATTCTGGATGTGATAATTTTTGAAGCCAACAATTTGTCCCTCAGGAACCTTTAAACATCCATGTACTTAAAATCATCTTGGGTTGCCTGAAAAGAAGCCAGTTGTAATGGGGACACAGAAAACTTTATCTATACCTATAGGCATTTGTATCAACACATTTCTACCTGCTTTGTTGTTCCTTATTTCTCACATATCCACAATTCACCTAGTATCTGTTGTAATGTTGGTATTATCCCAAGTGTGAATAACAGCACAGTTGCTGATTTCAAACCACTTGGCACATAGACATCCTTATGTTTTGTCAGTTTCTCCAGTCTTTATAGGGAATTTGAGAAAGTTATTTTGCTACTTCCCTCAAAAATCCATATTTGTATTTTTGAAATACCCCCTTACACACTGTTCAAACTATACTGGTCTCCTTATTCTTTGAATATTTTTTTCTTTTTCAAACCTCAGCTCATTTTCCTTAGAGAAGTTTTATCTTCCTTTTTAAATTGTTTTTTAGTTTTATCTTCCTTACTAGTAAATATTATTACTCTTCTGCTCTCTCTCTTAACGTTTACATATATTTTCTTCATATAGCATATCATTCTTTCTGCCTTTTTTCCTGTATACTTCCACTAGAGTTGCACTGTTCAGTAAGGTACACACTAGCGATAAATGGCTAAGGGTACTAAGCATTTAGCTACTTAGAAAAGTTATGTGATCTAAGTGGCAAATGCATATGATCTATCCATAATTTAATAAGAGAAAAAAGGATGGAAATATATAATTTATGGATTATTTATAGCTTGTTGAAATATTAATGCTACATGTTAAAGACAGTAAAGAAAATGAATCTTAGCTTTTTTCATTTGTTTAACATGTTGAAATTACTGCTGTATTTCAAAGGGTTAGTAAATAGTTGCTCAAATGTAGTTTTCTTGATTGAAATGAAATCTGGCTGCATTTTGAAGACTTTGAAGAGTGTGAAAGTAAAGTCAAGTCAGTATGCTTTTAATGTTTAAATTATAACATGATAACATGCATTTTAAGGAATAATCAACAAAATCATATTGTTGTGCCTTGTATCAACAGTACCTTGAAATGATAACAGACTGCATTTCAAAGTCTGAGCTAAAATATATAAAATGAACTAATACTTAGTAAAGTAGTTGATAGTTTGTTCTTATTGTTTCAATTTTATAACAACACTCTGAATTATAAAAATTGTGAAAATAACTAATGCAACTTGGGTTTGATCTCCGGCACCACTTATCATCCCAAGAGCACCCCCAGAGTGACTCTGGATCACAGTGCCAGCAGTAAGCCCTGCGCACAGTACAGGTGCAAAGCCCAATCCCCAAATAATATATAAATTGTGCCTAATGTTTCTTGCACAGACTTTTAAGTTCTTTTTTAGGAAAAGTAATGTATAATTGATAGGTAATCTGTTCATATTACTTGTATTTGAATTAATACACTGAATTTCAAAGTATTACTAAAACATTCCATAAACATTATCATTCTTTGTTTAACATATTTATATTCTTTACTTTTTGTCAAATAAAATAATAATTTAAAATTAAGTTTGCCTGTTCCTGTTTATATTTTCTTTTGGTTTTCAACTTTTGAGTATGATTCACAGAATATTTCTTTTCATTGTTTTGTTTTGGAGACACATCCAGTAGTGCTCAGGAATTACTTTCTATCTGTCTCTCTCTTTTCTCTCTATCTACATATATACACTTTTTAGAAGGTGATTATTAAAAATTATCTTGGAAGGGGTCAGAGTGATAATTTAGTGGAGAGGACAATTACCTTGCCAGTGACTGACTCCTATGGTCCTCCAAGCCCACCAGGAGTGATCCCTGAGGGCAGAGCCAGGAGTAAGTCATGAGCACCACTAGATGTGTCCCAAAATACAAATGAATAAATTTTAAAATCTTTGAGGGAGCTTTTCCATTGCAGAGACCTGTGTTCTCTCTTGAATATGTATCTCTCTTTTTCACCCCACACGGTCCTCCCGTTGTTCATCGATTTGCTTGAGCAGGCCCAGTAACATCTTTCTAAACTTCGTTCAGTAAAAATTATTGGAATTTATCTTCCAATAAAAACTATTATTCTGCCTCCTCCCGAAAGATCTTTCTGTGAGGGAAGGGGTAGGGCTGTCCTCAAATACCTATAAAGGGTTAAGGACTTATTTTCCCTGTGCTGCACGGAACTGTCCTCACCACAGCCTGATTCCAGGACTCTCAAGAACTCGGGTGTTGGGGACCAGTTCCTGCAGAGCAATAATTGGAATTCAGGTGCAGATTGACAGGTGCAGCTGCCTTGTACAGTTGGTTGCACTTAAACATCCTTGACTTGTAGGTGCTCAGAGCAGACTTCTATTGGCCTGACAAAAGTCAGTTATTTCCCTGGGCAACTTGGGGGGGGGGGGGGCGTCCAACAAAGATGCAGATGCACTCTTTTCTAGAGGCTATGTTTCACACTCCCCACTTTATCAAGTCACCTCCAATGTTATTGGTGAGCCGTTCAGAAGAAAATTCAAAGTGCAGGAGAAAACCTTCAGAAGGGACATAACCCCATGAAAATCTGACATGTGGGTACAGTCTCTTGGGAAATATCTCTGTATCTTGATTAGATATAAACTTCAACTGTGAAATTGTGCTACCAGGCAAGTATACCATACTCTTTCCCTTAACCCTCCTTCAGTTCAATAGGGAATTAGAGATCTCTAGGTATAAATTGGTATGGTAATGAGGCAGCAGAACCTAATAAGAAGACATACAGGCCATACAGACATACAGACATTCAGAGTGGCCCTGCTGGAAGGAAGCCAGTCTCACTGCCAGGAATGCCTGTGGTGGAATACGGATGTCAGTTAAGTTATTCCTCACACAAGTAAGGAACCCACCATGATGGAATGAACTTACCCAAGGGACCTGGGCATACTGGAAGCCATGTTGCTCCTGCAAGGATGCCTGAGGTTGAGGGCAGAGATGACTGATGGAGATGTCCAATTTTGTTGTTTTGGGTTTCCCCTGTCTGGATACTGAGATGGTGCTGCCTCCTGCAACTCTCAGGGATTCCTTACATCAGGGTGTGAGATGGCATGCCTTCCTGCAAACCACATCTCTCAGAGATGCAAATCTTGAGCTTTTGGAGATGGGAAAACAAGGGAAATACCCATTGAAGGTAGACCCCATGAGAAAAGGAGAAGTTGCATGAGGATAGAAAGAAAAGAAAATGAAGGGACTCAGAGCCAGAGAGATAGTACAGCTATAGGGAGCACACAGCCGACCTGGGTTCAATCCCTGGCATCCTATATGGTCCCCCAAGCACCACCAGGAGTAATTCCTGAGTGCAGAGCTAGGAGTAATCCCTAAACATCTCTGGGTGTGGCTGAAAAAGAAAAAAAGAAAATGAAGGGACTATTGAGTGCAAGGCTCTCCCTGTCACTACACTCAGGTTAATTTATCTATTTTATTTTTTAATTTCCTTTTTAATTCTTGCTCTATTCATAACATGATTAACTTTTATATATGCACAGAGTTGCAGGCCAAGACAATTTGGAGAAATTGTGTATAAGTTTCTCCTAAAAGCAATTCTCAATGCCGTACCCCCTGGGAGGAAAAGGGTGTGTATCTCTTCTGCCACCCCCACCCCCCACAGCAGCATGGTGGCCACCGCCTCAAAGTTTATTGGACAGCCAGGTATGAGCCAGTGGTGATGGGACAACTGCGGCATCATGGGATGGGGGGCAGAACCGGCAAGGCACGTCCTTCTTGCCCTGCCGAGACCACGAGTTGCCCCCCACAAGCAGCTGTCCGGAATGGCCATGGCCCCAGAGGCACACAAACCAATCTCGGAACTATTCGGCTTTTGGCAGAAATTCCTCCAGACTTCATTAGTAAAATATCAGAAATCCAAACTCTGATCGGGAGTGGCCCCGCAACATCATATGGTCTTCATAACCAGCAATAGAAAAAAAATTATTTCATGATGCCTTTTCAGCAGGTTTGATTGTTGGGGGAAATTCCAAATAATAATGGTGCATCTTTTGCCGAAATAATGAACGTAATCAAAGTAGAGAGATAGAGAGTTAAGTGGAAATCATCTGCCACGCAGGCACGGGGAGGGGTGGCATGGGGAGTATATGGGGGTTCTTGGTGGTGGAAAAAATATACACTGGTGAAGGGATGGGTGTTTGATCATTGTATGACGGAGACTTAAACCAGAAAGCTTTGTAACTGTTCTCACGGTGATTCGATAAATATTTTTTTGAAAAAGCTATTCTCTGATTTCTCAATCTGGAAAACCCATGTTCTTTCTTTAACGTGTTATCTCTGTTTCTCCCCTCTCACTTCTTTCTAAATTTCTTTCAATAAAGCTATTTTCTTCACTAAACATAATCTTGTAGGATATCCTAAGATATTCAAATATTGACGTTGATATCTACACAAATGCAATTGATTATTATCAATTACTTCACTAAAAATAATCTTGGAGGATATCCTAAGACATTCAAATATTAACTTTGATGTCTACACAAATGTCGTTGATTATTTTGTTACTTAGGGGCTCAAACACAGACTGACAT